GTCACACGACGGAAAAGGCCGTCCCTGGTTCTTAGGGTTGCCACCCTCCAGGTGGAGCCTGGAGGTCTCCCACTATTACAATCGATCTCCAGACGAGAGCGATCCATTCCCCTGGAGAGAATAAGAAAATGGCTTCTTTGGGGGGGGTAGATTCCATGGCATTATAACCTGCTGAGGTGAGGGTTGCCGTTCCCCCGGTGTGGCCAGGGGATCCCCCGATTTCGGAAGCCCCAGTTCACCCCAGTGCTGCCAGCGCTGGGCGTGATGGCGCTACTCGGGAGCGACGTCACCACGTTTCCGACGCTGGGGGCGACACTCTTCATTTTAGGCAAAAATAATAATAATAGAGTTTTGCCCAAAATGAAGACTGTCGCCCCCGATGTTGGAAACATGATGATGTCCCTTCCGGGACCACGTTTCCGACGCTGGGGGCAACACTCTTCATTTTAGGCAATAATAATAATAATAATAGAGTTTTGCCCAAAATGAAGACTGTCGCCCCCGATGTTGGAAACATGATGATGTCCCTTCCGGGTAATGTCATTGTGGTGTGGGCACTTCACGTGAACGCCAGAAGAACTCTAGCAAGGACTGGGATTTCCCCTACTGGCAGCCAAGTAGGACCTGTCAACCCCTGTTCTGAGAAAAGAAAACCCAGGCCCAAATCCACATTTCCCCTAGGTTAAAAATCTCACCCAATGACTTGGTTTCCGTTACGGCCCAGGAAAATAGTCTAGATGGAGATGACCAGTGCCACTGAGCCAGCCTAGGGTTGCTGGCATCCGTGTTTCTTCCTGCCCGAGACTGCGTTCCCCCCTTCTTCAAACGCTCCTGGTGTATCGCGACCCAAGTTCTCCTCAGGTGTCAAGGGAAGTTTGGAAAGTAGCAGAGCAGACGGGATAATCACGGGAAAAGAGACAGAGATTAGGAGTTCACAGTGCTTGACTTCTCTCAAAATTATTTAAAATACTAAGCGTTTGGGGGGGGGGGAACTGCCGGGTTGAAATTGTTTGTGTGATCTCGCAAGGCTTTTAAAACATGAGAGAACCATCACACTAACGCCTCTCTGAAAGGTTAGCTTAATCGTAGATCATACAAAATTGGTTCCCACAAATGCATAATGGTTCAGGTGTCACACTTGAGCTAAATGGTTTTTAAATGGAGCTGAAATTATTTTGATGTGTACATATTTCCCAGATATTCCCCCCCCCAATCTTCTCTACAACCTCTTTGAAACTGGCCCGACCGGGACTTTTCCCTTAGAGCCTCATTAAGAATTCAGATGTTCTGAGGACTTTAAAAGATCTATGGAAAGAGAGAGAGTGTGTGTGTGTGACAAAAAAGATAAATGAATATAAAAAGAAGCTGGAGGAATCTGGCAAGCGGTAGATCATCTCAGAACAGATTGTAACTTTATCATTTTGTCAGGAAGAATAATTTAAGGCACTTAATCAGTTAGCTTCCCTATGCAGGATTTAACGTTATGAATTCCTGTCGGCCAATCTGTTCAGATCAGAGCGAACTTAATTAGCAAGAGTAGTAGGAGCCTGCTCCCAAAATCATGGGTTCTTTCGTTGAGGAGGAAACCAGACTTGGCTCAGATATGAATAAATATATATATAAAACATTGGCCTTATAATTTGTTTACGAAGAAGAAGAGAAGAGATTGGGTTTATACCCTGCCCTTCACTACCCGAAGGTGTCTCAGAGTGGCTGACAAACTCCTTTCCCTTCCCCTCCCCACAACAGACCCCCTGTGAGGTGGGTGGGGCTGAGAGAACTCTGACACAAACTGCTCTTTTTCGAGGACAGCTCTTATCAGAACTGTGGCTTGCCCAAGGTCATCCAGCAGCTGCATGTAGAGGAGTGGGGAATCAA